ACATGAACCTGCAGTAAACATTAAGGATGTCACCTTTTGTCTGAGGCAGGTAGCAGAAAACTGAACTGTTTAATGAGCAGGTACATCACCATGAGAAATGCGGTCAGATTAACATGATTCTGTCATTTGTCTCACTCGTGTCTGCGTCCTCCTCGCCTCGTCACTGAAGGAGAAAGCAGCGTGGAAATCTGCAACCTGCTGAAGTAATTGAATCATTAGTTTGATCAATAATCCTATTACCACACTCTCTCTGCTCCTTGATAACTCATGTATCTTTACTGCAGGAGTGAACTGTAACGGAGCGAGTCTTTGCACCCCCCCTCCCCCCCCCCGACTGAGACAGTGAGCGTGCTGAGCTGTGAGACTGTGAGGCGGCCGCCTGCGGGAGAATCGATTCAGCTTAAAGACACAGTATCCAGGTGTCTGATCGCTCACCGCGGGCATGGGGGAGCCCAGTTCTACAGGGAGCGTGTTTTTAATGAGGCCCTCCGTCAGAGTGACACCTCCACCGCCACGGGCTTCAAACACTATCTCACACACACACACACACACACACACACACACACACACACACACACACACACACACACACACACACACACACACACACACACACACACACACACACACACACACACACACACACACACACACACACACACACACACACACACACACACACAGCTCAGTCTGAGCCGCCTGTAGCTGAGCCACACACCATACCGAGGCCATCAGAGGATTCCAGCTGAGTGTGCACACACATTAAACATTGACCAACACTACGATCGGATCACAATGGATTTATATCTACCCAAGTCAAAATGTGCCGCTTTTATTGGATAAATCTTTGTTTTTAACTATCAATCTATTGCTCAGAGGTGCATGGCGAAAGTGAACACTTCCTTTACTCCAGAAGATAAAAGAGTAGATTATTAAGACCAACTTTAACGTGATAAAAGAGTCTCTGGTAAAAGTAGAAGGAGTGCTGTTTCTTGTTTCCTGCAGTGGGTTAGGGTTAGGACTCTGAAATGTGCTCACCGTGTCAAAGTCAAAAGGCTAACTGAAGCTCACCTCATATTTTGAAGACGGTTAAACTGAAATCACTCTGGGAAAGCCGAGCACCCGCTCTGCTCGATAGCCGAGCGTGAAGAGAGCTGACTGAAGAAGGAAGAACAACAACCGCAGCAAATCAACGTTTACTCTCCTCCAGGTCACATATTCACCTAGTTTTCACTGCTTCATTCAAAGTTTTTTTTTTTTCTTTTGACGCTGTTTACACTAAAAAGTAGTCCTAAAACAAAAACAGTCATGAACTCATATAAAATATTTTTCCTCCCCTACTTCGAGCGCCCGTTCACGAGGGCTTCTGGCTCATCCTGCAATTTGAATTAGATAATTGTTTGTTTCTGTTATTTTTTATGTGACAAGTGTGTCCAGACTCCAGTTTGTTTGTTTGTTGTTTTGTATGCTGTCCTGTGAGGTGTCCTGTAATCGTACATTTATTTGTTGTTGTTGTTAGTACTTACCTTAGGACTATAAATAAAATGTAGCTTTTGTGCTAATTATGGAATATTTACATGATGCAATTTGCAGATATGTTCATTAAGGTGCACAGTCCTAATTCAATAAATAAATATTCTGCCTGCCTGGATTCCGCCATGTTTGTTTCCTCTAAAGTCTCATTTGACGGTGAGAGATTTAGTGAGATTTGAAGTGTTTAGAGTCAGGACTGGTAGTTGGTGAATGAATCTGTTAGTGTGTGCTGTGCTGTTTTGGTCTATTGTTGCTCTCCACACACTACAGGAACAAAAGTGTTTAATCTATCGTTATTTGTCTTAAAGGTGGCTCTCTCACATCTTTAACATTTTAGAAATCTTTCGGTGTGGGCCAGGCGTAACCTAAAAGCCCTTAAGGTCACTTTCACATATAAAGTGCGGTGGACTCTGTGTAATTCATGGGTGAAGTTGTAACAGTGCTGCCTTTCATTTGGCTCAGTTTGCTTTAACACTGCACTTTATCAAGATCAACAAAACAACGTCAAATGTCGTGTACCGTAACCGTCCACCACTAGTGGATTGTGACTGTAGCTCAGGTCAGTGGCTGCTGTCATCCAGCCTAATGCTGTACTATGACCTGAAAGTAAACAACAGGACAGTGGAACAATGGCATCCCGTAGCACGGTGCATTTTGGCACTATTTTAATCAATAAAATGGAGCATCAACACATGCTCACCTACGGTGAACCGAACTTTGACCTTCGTTTTTTAAGCGGACCAGAGTTAGGTTCTTTGGGCCACACCAGAGTTCATTTGAGCTTTCACACCACCCCAAACTAAACGGACTGTCCCACAAAGCACACCAGAGTTCGGACCAAACGGCATAAGTGTGAATGCACCCTTTATGTTGCAGACACTAGAGCCTGTATCTCTGGTGACGCAATCTACTGGAGCGATGGCAAAACTTTTTGTACCTTTTAGTCTTTTGAAATCATAAGTTTTGTAGAATAATGTCCACGTTAAAACTACCAGAAATCCCCTTAAAATCCTCCATTTAAAAAAAAAGAACAGATCAACTGTGAGCTCTGCTAAAGGGTGAAGGTGTTTCTGGGACCGCTGGGACTCAACGGCCCGTTAATCATGAATCACCCATGTTATTCACCCATGAATCCAAAGATCACACTGTGACAGTTTGCCATGGAGACTTTCTGATTCATGCACAGGTATAAATAATGGATCAGTGCCTGCTCGATGTCACAGGATGGGTTCTGGGGGCACTGGGACTAATCTCATTGGATCCTGCTCCTCGTGTGTGTGTGTGTGTGTGTGTGTGTGTGTGTCGGGGAGTGTGCACAAAGACACACAACAACACAAAGCAGAGAGACACACACACACAACACAAAGCAGCAGAACGAGCCCTGATGGGTTTCTGGCTGTTGACCAAAACAACAAATTTAATAAAGTTGTCACAGATCCAAATGGTTCCTCACAGAGTACAAATGAAACCTTTATACTCATCAGAGCTGGGACGGTACTTTGAAAACAGAGAGTTACAAGCTAACAATGACTTTACACAGAAAAGAACAACATCAAAGATACCTGAGGGACAGATCTGGTTTGCTGACATAAAGCTATATTATAAAAAACATGCGAGCAAATAAAGAAGCTTACTTGAGTTTATCACAAAGGCTGCCACACTTTCCACAGGTCTGACATAAACCGAAAAGGTTAAATACTCCACCACTCATGGGACAGATTTGTTTTGTAAACAGTATCTATCAGAGACTAGCATTCAGAAACAGTCCAGGTGGAGGCGTTCTGAAGCATTTGAAGCTATCCAACAGAGTTTCAGGAGAAGAACCGCCGTAAAGACGTTTTCCTGTCATTAGCCTTTAGTACCAGTACACTGAATCTGTGTGAGTTCACATTGTGTCATCATGGCAGAATCAAATAATGGCGATGGCTGTGAGGTATGAAAGAGCAGGGTCATCATCGAGAGTGATGCAATAATTTAAGAACTATAATCAGCGGATTCCTACTGAAGCATCCCCCACAATGCCGTCAGCAAGCAGAGGTGAACCTTTCACATGCGTTAATATTTGATTTAAATCTGTTTTCTACATGTTTGAGTTGTGGGAGCCAAAAGGGGCCATGCGGTATGGTATAGGTATCCGCTTGTCACTTCCTTCATGCTGTGGTTATGCAGATCTTCATGCAATATTTCCTTAATAAATAACCATCCACATTGAAATATGTGAACCTGGATCAGCTTCATATTCCGCCCTCTACACGCCCACATTCAAATACTTGAATAAGAACTACAGACTGCAGTCGTGTCATGTTTTTTTGTGTTTCTTTGGATTTCTACATCAAAGTGAAGGAGAGACATTTCTGCACACTCGATAACAGAGACTCTGCAAGCTTCTTGTTTTGGCATTGGCTATGTGCCACAGTAGCACATGTTCAATATATTTTAAATTACAATACATTTTTTATTAATCAATAAATACTAATTCCATGCGACCCCACAAGAGGTCGGGAACCTAAGGTTGGGAAAGCCTGTCTTAAACAAAAAAAATTATCTGACGCAAAGAAAAAGCACCTTCTTTTCCTATAATGACCAAAAGTTGTCCGTAGTTTCAGAAGTTAACAAAAAAAAAGAGTCAATGCAAATCACTGCAAATATAAATGTAGCCAAATAATTGCTATAAAGAACAAGTTAACTAACAACTGAATTACATGCTCTGTACTCCCAAACACTGATATTCATGAAGCCAAGTTTAAGATGCAAGAATCTGGAAACTTTACGAAGACAGTTTAAAAATAAAATGTGCAGAAGTTGCTGTGTCACAGGTTTGCAGTGAGAAATGCTCTGACTGTCAGCGAGTGTAAAAATATGATTTTCCTCTCATCTTTCACACTCAAACCCAAACAAGCACCCCGTCGCCACAAAGAGCTGAGCAGCTGCTTTAAGTTCTGCAGGCCGAGGATGTGCTGACGTGACCTCAATCCGCCGGCTCGCTGCCTACTTAGGTCACGGTCGTCTGGGCCTGTAAGAGCGTCTCCTTCATCAGGTCGGACTAAAGCCTCACACACACTGCCCATCAGCCGCATGGATTACAGGGCTAACTGCTAACACACATCTGAAGCTGTCTGCCTCACTGAGTCATGAGCTTGCTGCAGAGCTTCTCCACACACACAGAGATCATCACCTGAAAACACCAGAGTGTCGGCATCTTCTGCAAACATAAGCTCTAGAAATCCAGCTCTCTGTGAAGCATTAACACATCAGGGTGCAGCCAATAAATCCTCTACGGACATACATGGACGTGTTTACAGAATTAAGAGCAAAAATCCTGTTTAGCTCTCGTGTTGTGCATGAAACATGAGACCTGAATCTCATCCACAGTGAGATTCACAACATCAAATCTCCTGCTCCACTCCGTGTTCATGCTCACGTTAAGAAATTAAGTCACTAAAGGTTGCTGTTATCATTTTACTCACCTAGTCGTTGCTGAGATTTGGTTGCACAAAGTCAGATTTACGACCAAGTTCAAGTCCATCTCTGTGAAGACAAAACACAAGACATGAAAATTAGATTTCAAAGACAAAACTATGCATTTTGCAGAGAAAGTGTGGTCGCACTTGCTGAAAAAATTTACTACACAGCCAGGGGGCTCTCACTCGAAGCACTAACAAAAGATGCCGTCTAGGCTATAGGGGGAATCATGGGAGTAATTATCTCTGTTACTCCCCCCGCCCCACCACTGATGAAAATAAACTCAGAGTTAATTGTAGTCAAGACGCACGTGCGAAACCGAGCAGAGAAAGAGAATATGTTTACAGACGATGTATCCAGGTATAATTTACATAACGTTTTTTTTATCACAGCATCACATGCAGCATCATTACAGCAGCTTTTAATAGCAATTCCCGCTTCCTTATTCATTAGGTGTTTCCATGGCAACGGTATGTCTGTCATGCCAGCCGCCACGATAAGACACGGGGTGTTACAACTATAAAATGAAGGATTTCTCTGGCTTTGATAACTGTAGAAAATATTGGAGGTTATGTAAGTACTATAACATATGGTTAGTTAAGTTCTAATTAAGTTAATTAATTAAGTTATTTCAATTTGAGTTTAGATTTAATTTGTGAAGGCAGTGTTTTTTTATTCTTACTCTTCTTCTGTTGGATATTAAAATGTAGGAGGTCTGACAGTGACAGCTCATCCTGTTTTTGAACTTCACACTGTCTGCTCTGCATGTCGGCTCCTGTTTATATTTGGGCCTGTAGCTGTGAAATGAATAAACATCAGGTTGATCCTCACGCCTCCCCGCTGACGGGGCCGTCCTCACTCACTCAGGTGAGGTGACACTACTGCCACGGCGACGACACTTCTTACTCCGCCTGTCAGCCTCTAAAGCTGCTTTAGGAGAGTCTCTGTCGGCTCGGGCTTGTTTATGTGAGGATGTGGCAGTAAACATCTCTGTGCGATGTTTGTGACAGGGAGAGGGAATACAAAACTGAGCTCTGATTGGCCGGTTTTCCGCTCCATGCAACACAAGAATACAATTGTATGTACTATGATTTTTAATTTAAAATTCATTAACAACTAAAAAAGTGGAAGAAAAGCTACTGAAACATCCTTCAACTTTAGGTTGTACAGCTTGTATGGACATGAAGCATATGAAAAATGACTAAAAGTTTCCAGACACAATGATTTTTCTCTGTTTCGACATTTGATAAGTTGTCTCTGTGCTTTTTCAGTAGATATGAAGTTTCAATCTTTTCAGATTATCACATCCTGTTTTTATTCACGTTGTTCACAACAGCTATTTAGGAATTGGTCTGGAATAACAGGGTCCATTTATTTGGTTTCGCGTTAGTTTACAAGCATTAATGTCAATAATGTTAAAGTAGTTTTAAGTCCACACATTGAATGTTCATTGTTCTGTCAGTGTTTGTTGGTTTAATAAAGTGATTTAAATGTATCTAGAAAATTTGTAGTTCAAGCTGTATTGATCAATCACGTATCAGCAGGCTTTGATGTGTGCAGGAAAAAAGGCTGCATGGACGACAAAAAGCAGGTCATACATTATCCACGCTTATCAGCTCCCATCAACGGTATTTTACCAATCATTTATTTGTCTCTATAAATAGATAAGGAATATACTGTATATCAAATATTTCAACTCGCGCCACAAATCTGCTTGACGCTGTGTTGTACCTGAAACGCATCAGAAGTGATCGATCCAAACTTGTTTTGTTCATTCTAGGACAGACCTGAAAGAGCTTAAATATTTTTCAAATTGGAATCATCACGTTATTTCAGTAAACGTAATTCCTGTTAACTGCAACTAAATCAACAGAAAATCAGCTTTTTCAAGCTCACAGCGCTAACGTGAGCCAGAGTGAAGAGGCCGACCAACTTCTGCTGAACTGAGACTCAACAGATGGACGGGAGCTTCTCCAGGGAATGTTAAGGACAAAGACATGACGCACAGTAAAAAGGCTTCACCAGAATGACTGAGAAATTTGCATCAGTTCCCAGAGTCTGTCAGACGACGATAGCGTACTTGTTCCTGGGTTGCAGGTCATTAAATCATGATATATGACTGCAGTCATGCTATAGTTTCATTAACTGCTGAGTCTTTTAAGTGAAGTCATGCAAACGAGTTACTCTGTCCAGAGAACTCTCTCATATTCATGCACGACATGGTCTCTCTTTCTGCAGTTTGAACTCTTCTTTCTATGCATCAGCTGTGTTCACACTGGAATGATTGCACTATGAGGGTTCATATAGTCTAACTTTGAAACAAGAGCATTGAAACCTCTTTGGAAGATTTGAACACCAAGCAGCAGATTGGGTTAAACTGAAGATGTAGCTCTGTCACTGAGACAAATACCTGCGAACACACCTGCTCACTGTCCCTCTGAGACACACTGATACTCTGACTGTGATGAATGAATTCATCTGCAGCAGCTGAGGATTTAACTGGAGTGAAATTTGCATGCACGCAGGGGAACAAGCGGCAGGAGAAGCTGTAACAGAGAGCGACGATTGGGTAACGTGCTGAAGCAGCTGATTGGTTGTTTGCACTCTCGAGCCAGTCAAACAAGTGTCTGTGTCCAACTCTGGAACGGCTCCACGTTTTTTTTTCATGCTGCACACTGGAGGGAGCAGATCCACTTAGCTTTTTCGCTGCACTGCCTCCTTTTTTCTTTGGCCGTTCATTTGACGAGCAGCCAGCCAGTAAGAGCACATTAAGTTTTAATCTGAGCGTGATGCATGCTTATCGCTCCTGACGGCCACAAATGAACTTTTGTCGCTGGCAGCCGCAGAGGGAAACAAAGCAGAAAGAGGCGAGGAGCGGAGCACTTTTTAAAGGCTCGTGTACTCAGTGTTTTTTAAAAGTCTGCACCGTTTGTATTCTCAGAGCAGGGAGAACAAAGGAGTGGTGGAGCTGTGCTGTTGAACCAGTGTCATATCAGGATGTTCCCATCGTCATTCATGTACAACACTTTCTCACGGGCAAAGTTTGAGGACTTTGTCGTCTGTATGAGAGGTACGAGGCTTTCACCTGTCTCCTTCCATGTGCAGGGCCACTTACAATAACTCAGTCATTTCATTTGCATTGATGTAACTAAAAATATGTCAGTTTACTTTGTGGAAAGACTAACTGGAAAGACTGGAAATCTAACAAGGAACCAACCAGGGTCCCGTGAAGGAAAAGAACCAATATGCAACTTTTCCACATTAAACTCCTAGTTGATCAGTTGATCTTTTAACTTTAAAACAGGCAGAAGTGCATCTCTCTCCTGTCCACAGACACGATGTGAGCTCGGCATTGGGCTGCAGTTCTCTCCTGAGTTGTGCAAACGACTTTACTGTACTAGCCAGTTGGGCCATGACGGCAATGTGTGTTTTACAACAGTGCAGTTGATGTCAGAGACCTTCAGTGGGTGCCAAAGCGCACTAAACCAGATTCCTCGAATGTTGCTTTAAGTTATTATTTAACCCACACCATGATGTCGAGTTTATACCTACAACTAAAAAAATAGTTTTTGTGACTGAAAGTGACCCGATTGTTTCAGGTCAACAATAACAAAACATTTAAACACGAAGCGTACCTCCAGGAAGAAGCTGAAAGTTACCTTAAAACACTAGGCACTCGAGGGTTACAGTAAATAGTTGCTATATTTTAGTAGAGGCGCCTCTACTGTAAAAATAAAAAAAACTACGGTACAACTTGTATTTTTTGTTGTTGTGTTCTGGTATCCTCAGCTGCAAGGTTTGTACTGTAAAATTTAGCTTTTTTTACAGTGCAAAACTGACATTACATTAGCCTTGGGTAGATCTTTTAGATCACAACGTTGCCCTGTTTAAATCAAACTGTCCATTGAGAAGTGAACATTGGGCCTTTCTTAACACATAAAACATTATTCACTTTTCTGCGTAGCATCTCCGTCTCCATAGAAGGCCAAAGATGGTGAAGGCCAAACTATGAAACTTGAGGCTTCAAACAGATGGTCAATGAACTTATCTTTGACTTTGTGGGTGCTACGTCCACTTGTTATACACAGTCCATGGTAGGAATCAGCTCTAAACCGCACCACCTTTAATGCTTTAAAAGTTACCTACACTGGCAATGCTGCCCGCTCTGTCTGCTCTGGATTTACTCTCTATGATGAAAAGAGGAAGTGATTAACAACTTGTGCAAGCGTGCAGAAGCTGTCAACTTCTATCAGCAATGCTACACCCTGACAGAGACCTAATGGCCATAATTATATTAAAGAGAGCCACACAAACTGGCTCTAATGCCATCTCCGCACGCAGAAAAACCTTACATAAAAAATATAACTCTGCAGAGAATGACTTTATGGAACAACACAAGGATAATCAAAGTGAAATAATGTGTTTATATTGAGCAAGCTAAAGGCTGTTAAGCACTAAAGTCTGCTGTGAGTGCACAGATGATATAAAACTGATGCGATCATTCAGACGATGAAGACGTCTTCACTGGTTTTAAAGCCTGAAAACTGTTCTCTGCATGTTTCCCAGCTGTCAATCCTCTCTGCATGTAATGCTTAATGTTCTTCTGGGAGAAATAAGATCAAAGTTTGATCATCCCTGCAGGAGAAATGAGGTCACCGAAGTAATAAACAGGAAGGAGCTAAAGCAAAGAGAGACGGAGCAAACAGGGGATTCATGGGACAGAGTAACTCTACCACAGAGTTACAGAGAGGAGTTATGTGTTAAATGTGCCTCATGATGTATGCATGATTTAATAAATTAATAAAAGATCAGTTCAAGCACACATAATCTGTTTTTCTCTGATCCTTGAGGAGCTTTAGAGGAATCATTAAACAGTTAAATGCCTTGCTCAGGGGCTCCTCATGATGATTGCTGAAGGCAGAAGATGTATTAACCATTAAGGGTGAGGGACGGTGATCTTCACCACACCTGTGTTCTTTGTTCTTTGTTCTTTGTTTGCCTTCAGAGAACAATTTGTGAAGCAACCCAACTCCAGTTTCAACAGCTTGATAAGAATCACCTGGTTT